GAAAAAGTTATCCACCTGATCAACTGGACTGGCAAAAAATGGATTTTTGCCTAAACTTTAGTTGTTCTTAAAATATCTAAAATAAATTTGTAAAGAACCATTACAGTGTCTTTGCCACCAAGTTTTTTTTTTTCCTTGAAGATGTTTTACCGGCTCAGTTTTGCAATGCAAATTGCAAACTGAATCAAAGTAACATATTATACAGCTCTATTGTGTGTGTTTCTTCACTTTTTAGCAACTTGATACTGATGTTAATTTTCAACCTGCTGTTCATAGCCACCCTTGTTGGTGGTACATGTTGTAAACTTGTAGCTAATGCAAAATATTCAAAACCTATCAAAAGACAGATGAGCACGAGTGTCATTTTTACCAACAAATCTTGTCTTTGTGAAATGCATACAATTTTTCAACATGTTCTCTCATTGAATGAGCAAACATGTTGCAAACTTGCTTGCACATAACTTAATTTTTTTAAGTTTTTAAGTTGTATGTACTTAAGAACAAATCTAGTAAACTGTAGCATTTTTTTTTTGCCTGACAACTTTCCATATCTAAACTGTAAATAAAGTTTAATAATTTTTATATATAGTATTTTGCTTGTGGCTTTCTACTGAAATTTGCAGTTTACAACATAAGCTTTAAAAAATAAAAGAGCAATATAAAGGAGCAATATAAAGGAATATAGACATTCAAGAGGAGAATAAAGATACTAAATAACTAGTAATGTCTTGAAATTTAGTTAATAAAATGATTTTTATTTCCTTTATAAATATTTAACTAATTTAATGTTTTAATACATATTTCAATAACATTTATAATAACTTGCTAAATGTTTAGAAATAATAATAAATATCCAACTTGCGACAAAAACAGATTGATCGGTTTTGGGTATATTCTAAATACCATTATGTATATAAATACAGTGTTTACAAGAGTAATTACAGTATAAAGGTTGCACTTGCTGATAATAAAGCATTTATAAGTGTTAAAATCAAAGTTATCAATTGTAAAATAGGACATTTTTAAAAAAACCCAAATATATTTTGGGTTTTTTTGGGTTTTATTGGGTTTTTTTAAGGTGGGTTTTTTTTGGGTTTTTTTGGGTTGGGTTTTTTTGCCAACCCTGCATAGATTAAGAGCAGCAGCGGACCTAAGATGGAGCCTAGTGGAACCCCACATAATATTTTAAGTTTGTTTGTCTGAAAGCCATCATTTAGAGAAATAAACTGTTTTCTATCAGTTAAGTAACTGGTAAACCATTCATGGTATTCGTGGCTTATTCCATAAAATTTTAGTTTCTCTAATAAAACCTGATGGTTAACGGTGTCAAATGCTTTTGACAAGTCGAGGAATTTACCCAAAGTGAATTTGTTATGGGAAGATACTTCACTGATAACTTCAACAAGTTGCATAAGTGCATGTTCCGTAGAGTAGTTTGATCGAAAACCATATTGGTTGTAATAAAGAAGATTGTTATCATACGAAAATGCAAAGGCATGAACTAATTAAATACACTTCTACGGTGCTCTGTGACAAGACCGTTAAGTCTTCTTGGGGCACCTAACTAACAAAATTAAAAAATGTAAATTTACATTTCCGTATACCTAATTAATTTTTTTAAAACGACTTTTACTTTATAATGTTTGTTTTTTTACTTTCAAAAGTAAGTTATGTAAAAGAAAAAAAGTCAGCAAATTTTACATATAAAATTAAGTCGCATGAAAAAGCTGTTTACTTTTACATTTAAAAGTTAATTACTTTTGAAAATTAAAAAACTTTTGATAATAAAGAAATCGTTTTAGAAATCTTTATAGATCTATCAAAAGCATTCAATAATTTTGATCATGAAATCCTGCTCAGAAAAATGGATGCATAAAAGATGTTGCAATACTCTGGTTTAAAAATGTTTTGCTAAACAGACAGCAATGTGTTTATACTGATAAAAATATCTGTTCAAAAAGATCAAATGTGGCATTCCCCAAGGTTTCATTCTAGCTTCTTTACTGTTTAATATAAATTAATGATCTTTTGAAAGCCTCAAACAAACTTGCAGCCATAATGTTTACAGATGATACTAATTTATTTTACTCATCCCCGTCTATTACAGAACTTTTTAAAACAACGAGTATTGAACTCAAAAAATTTAATATTTGGCTAAAATCTAATAAACTATCTTTATACACAGAAAAAACTAATTACGTCTTATTCCATCTCAAACAAAAAGAAAAAAAGTACCGAATATATTTCCATTGCTAAAAATAGAAAACAAAAATATCAAAAGAACCACAACAACTAAATTTCTAGGTTTACTTATTGATGAAAATATTTCATGGAAAGCAGATATTGACTATTTAAATACTAAAATAACCAAAAATATTGGCGTGCTATACAAGGCTAGACCAATGTTATCCCAAGAAAATCTAAAACATCTTTATTTCTCATTTATTCATACTTATTATACATATGGTAATATAGCATGGGCAAGTACCCAAAAATCCAATTAAAAATCACTTTATCGACATCAAAAACATGCCGATAGAATTGTCTATAAAAAAGATAAACTCACTCAAGCTGAACCTTTGTTAAAACTCCTTAATGTACTAAATGTCTATAGAATTAACATTTACCAAAACTTACTGTTCATGCTAAAATATAAATTCCTGCTTGTCTAGGGCGCGGGTAGGTGTCACGTGGGGGGGGGGGGGGGGAGGAGGGGGAGAGTGCCACTACAACTTTTGCCGTCTAATAAAAAAAAAAAAAAAGTCCTCGTTTTTTAAAATTTACCGACTGACTTTACCAACTAACCTATCGACAGGGTTTACATTTGCCGACTAACGAGTCAAAAAGGATCACATTTGCAGACTAAGGGTCAAATTTGCCGACTAAAAATCATTGATAGGGGGGGGGGGGGTGTCACCCCCACACACCCCTATCGTGCCGGCCTTGGACTTGTCCCATTACATTTCTTAAATGAATTCTTTAAAAGCAATAGAAATAGATATGAAACTAGAGAAGTAAGAAACTTTAATATACCGTTCAGAAAAACGATCTTTTTAATATACCGTTCAGAAAAACTATCGCGTTTCACAATTTCATATCGCGGTCCCTATCTCTTTAATAAACTGATATTTAAAAATGCCATGATTACAAAATTAGATAACATAAATTGTTTGAAAATCTTACTAAAAAAATTCGTTCTAAATACTAACAATTATTTGAACTTACACTAAACTAAAACTGAAACTAGAACCAAAATTAGCCTTTAAAAAAAAATCCCAAAAAACTTTAATAATATATATTTATATAAAAAAATCAATATAAATCAATAAGAATTATATTTATGCCTAATATATTTATGTGTATTTTGTGTACTACAAACTACTAAAATTTATCAACTTCTTTTCTTTTTTTTACATGTGAATCCAATATAAAATTATGTGAATACATGTGAATCCAATATAAAATGTGAAACTTGAAACATTGTATAACGAAAATACAAAAATTATTACAAGTACAAGCGGTTTCTTAATGACAAGACCATCTGGTCTTCTGCAAGTTTCCCGCGTTCTTTCAACTTTTATATTAATTATTTGTGCTAAATTTAATATTTGTACTGAAAAAAGTTTACATAATATGTGAGATATTTTATTTTATACATTGTAAACGAATCAGTTTATATTATGATCACGTATTTGTAAAATTTTGATAAAAGAACAAAAAAAAAAAAAATTACATTTCATAATGTAAAAGTTCCTTAAACTGTAATTTACATTTACCTATAAAAGTAATTAAAAAAAAACTATATTAAAAAAAAACTTGCATATGAAAAAAATTACATAAAAGTAATAATTGCTACCAAATGTAAATTAAATTTACAAATAAAATAATATATTTTTAAAATTTATTCGTTTTTATAATTTAAAAACTAAGGATGAAAAGTTTAAACCATTCCTGTATTATGGGGGCTACAACCCCCATGTCCCGCAGATTTAGGAGCTTCGACATTTTTAAGAGGATGCTTTATTTTTGAAAGGTTTTTTTGCAATTTTAATAAAAAAAAAGCCAGCTGCTCAAAAGTATCTTTAGACCCTGCAAGTTTTTAAGAACTACGATATTTTATGGGCGTGAAAAATTTAGAACTATTTATGTAAATATCTTTATCTGCGTGTAGTACCAGCGGCCTGACAACAGCAAGGCCAGTGTAGGCAACATTAACTGTTCCTCAAGCAACTTGGCTGAAGGCCACGAGGTTTTAGGAGCCTCAAGATATATTTAAAGAATTTTATTTTGTTGCTTTTTTTAGTTATTGTTCCAGAGTTATTGTTCTAGAGAAACAGAAATTGGGCACCTGGATCAGTATGCCTACTGGCGAAAAATATTTTGCTATACCAGTGTGTAATATACGTATAACCCGACCTGTAGCTAAGCAATGATTTATACTTAGATTAAGAAATAAAATTTTTGAATATTTCCAACCACTGTGCACCCTGGACGCACAGTGCCCAGGGTGCACAGTGTCATGTATTTGATTACCATAAATTTGGTAAAAATAAAAAATTTTGAAACCACAATTTATGTTTTACATTACTTTTTTTCTTACCTTTAGTATCAACAATGTGGCATTTGGAAACTTCGAAAAACAATTAAAAAAATAAAATAAAAAACTTTTTTTGCAAAAGAGTCTCCTAAAAAAAGAAAGAGCTGTTGCATTTAAATGTCGAAATAAATAAATTAAAAAATCATTGTAAAAATCTAAATTTTTCTAAATATTAGAAAATAAGTAATTTTAGCACAAACAGAAAACACAAACTAATTTAGTTTCTTTTTTCACTATTTTTATTTACCTCAAACCGTAATTTTTCTGCTGTATTACAATTAAAAAAAAAAAAAATTATTTTGCTTTTGATATGGAATAGGACTTATATCTGTTTTCTTTTTAACTATATATAAAAAATCTGTGAAAATTTAGTTTTTATAGTTTTAATCAAAAAGTATATTATAAATCATATTATAAACATTTTTATTTCTAATAAAACATTTATGCACGATAAGGTAAAAAATATGAGTGCAATGCTTAAAATTTAAATTACAAAAATATTGCTTATATTTTTAATATGCACGAGTGACCGAAAGTTGAAGATTTATTTTTAATTTATTACAAACACGAGGAAGATTCTTTATTGTTCTTCTTCTTCAACGTCTGAGTTAGTAATAACATCGTCAGCCAAATTTGTAATTATATCTCTAGCTACATCTTCTATTGCAAAATCATAAACTTGATTTTGGCTGTTTTCTTTATTTTCGTAATCAATACTATCAATGCCAGTCACAAAGTTTACTGCAAAATCAAACACAGATTGAACGATACTTTGAGCTATACTTTCAATTGGATTTTCGAAATTTTCATTATTGTCTTTTGAGGCAAGAAAATCATTATTGCCGGTTATTTCAGAGGAATTGTTGATGTCTTTAATATCGTTTAAAACTTCATTAACGATAAGCAAAACGATACTTCCAGCTAAATCTTCGACTGTCGGATCCATGAAATTTTCTTCCTCATTGTTGATTAATTCACTTTCATTATTGTTTCCTTCGGTACTATCGTTTTCAATTTTTTCATAAGTTCTATCATTATTCATATCTTCATTGTTCGTTTGGTCAATCCTGGTGCTCTCCTCTTCTGAAGATACATTTATATTTTCATTTTCGTCATCGGATTCATCATCAAGAGTATCTTGGTTTATCTTATTATTTTGAGGAGTAGATCTTCCATTTTCTTCATCATTATTTTTATTACTGGATTGATTTGATTCTTCGATATTTGATTTTTCTTCATTATTTGTAAACTTTGTGCTTTCATCATCGCCATTATTGGTCAAAGAAGGTTCTTCACTTTCATCAGTTGAATGTTTTTGAACTTCATCGCCTTGATCTAAGGATTTATTATTTTCTTCATCATTTGCCCCCTGTTCGCTATTATCTTCATTTTCAGTTTCACTGTCGTCATCAGGGGAGTCGGATTGAGAAGACTCAGAGATAGGTGAAAAATAATTTTCATCTCGATAGAGAAGAGCATCCTCTTCACCTTCATATTGAGAATCTGAATGCTCACCATCATCTGCATCGTCATCGTCATGTGCATCGTCATGTGCATCGTCATGTGCATCTTGTACATTACAAGACTCTTCGAGATCAAATGGAATAAAATCTCCTCCTGGATAGAAGTTTAAGACAAACTGTATTTTAAAATAAACTGAGATTTAATAGTTCACTAAGATGATTATTATGATGTAAGAGTTAAAAAAATGATCCTGAAAAAAAAAAAATTAAAAAAAAATACCTTTTAAAGCTTTCAAAATAAACTTTGTATTCACGGTTTTAGAATTTGAAGTTAAAACAAGCTGATTCGTTTTTTCATCTTTTGATAAGTATTGATTTGGAACGTTAGTAGATTCAAACTGAAAAATATCTCCATTTTTATGAAATTTTAATCGACACTGCATATCTGAAGGATTTATTTTCTACAGAAAAAAACCCAAAAACAATCAAAGAAAATACATTCTAATATTATATTTTAGTAGCTTGTGTTGAATAAGAAAAAGTAATATTGGATAATAAATTATGAAAAATAGGATTGAAAAAGATTAGGATAGTTATGGAGAATAAATTATGAAAGTTTGTACTAAAAAAAAGGTTTGAAAATTAAAATGTATTTAACCTTCAGGATGACAGCGGAGTTATTTTTTACAACGATTAAATTATCAGACTCCTTATTTTTCAAGTTGATCATCAAAGAACTGTTGGAATCATCGAACGTAGATATGACAAATGTACCTAAAAAGTAAGTTAAAAAAAAAACTATTTATAGTGAAAAGAGCGATTAATAAAACATGAAGTACATACTTGAACTATTTCCAATGTATTAATTAATTGAATCTCGAAAAATAACATAATTTAATATATTATTGAATAATAAAAGACCAAAAAAACAATAAAAAAATCTAATATTTGTCATTATTTTCTTAGCAAAAAAACAAAAAAACAAACAAACATTTTTCATCATTTTTATTATCTTCTAGTACAAATGTTGGTTTACTGCTAACATCAGCAAGTAACGAACCATCATAATGGGAGATTAATTGAACTTCCATTTTATCACGAATAACATCCTAAATCATTCATATTTGCATGGTATAATACTATTAATTCTATATATAACTTTGTTTTAACCCTGTCAATGAATATTTCAAAAATACCTTCATAAAACATTGAAACTTTGCAGAATCAGAAGTGACGTCAGTTGTGATCGAAATATTTCCATTCTCGTCACTACTGAGATAAGAGCCATTATGAACAACGCTTTCAAATATGCAGGTGTTATCGTCAGATATTATCAATAAAAACTCGTTCAATAGGCCGGGGCTGCCCTAAAAACATACAAAACCTCAGTAAAAATGTTTATTTAAAAAAAAACTGTTTTATAGGTGTTTTTTTTTTTTTTTTTTTTTTTTTTTTTTTACATAAAAGTAAGTTATGCTTAAAAAATTAAAAAAGTTTCAAAAGACAGAATAAACTAGAGTAGTAATAAACAGGCAGGTAGAGCGTAGATACAAAACCTGTGTAGATACAAAACCGTAGAAAAAAAATGGTCCTTGATTTTTATTAAAGTCTGATCTTTAAATAAAAATTTAAAGATCAGACTTTAATAAAAATCTCCTACATTCAAATTCTAGGAACAAAAAAAGATTCTAGGAACAAAAAAAATAGCCAACAGTATATTTAAAAGTCTATGCAAAACAAAGGAAATGAAGAAAAAAAAATCGAAAAAACCTCTTCATTGTCTCGCGCAAAACGAAAACCTTAATGTTCAAAAAGAGTCAAAGGGAATAACATTTTTTCCTTTAATTATCAAATCAGCATGCAAAATCACAATACTTTAAATGATTCAAATATATTCAAATATATAAAAACAGGCCATGACATTGCAAAAATTGTTGCAAAAACTGAAGATCAAGCTTTTCTGACTTAAATTGATTTTTATATAAGATAATGGAAAGATGTTTTCTAATATGAATCACTGTTAAAGACTAATTTATAAATAGACAACATCAGAAAAAGAAAACATTATAAAAAGAAAACAATTGCTAGAAGACTATTAATAGAAATTTTCTATGATTTTTTGATAAAAATGATTTTTTTTTAATATATTCTCTATATTCATTATAACAATTGATTGTATCATAATTTCTTATTTCACTTCTTTGCAAAGCAAAAATAAAATATATTTAATAAAGTATACAGAGCTGTTGATTGATTTTTGAAGATTATGCAAAATTATGCAGCAGTTCATCTTTATCAGCAGAAATATTTTTGCAACATGTCACAAGTATGACAATCAATGCTATCAACAAGATGGTCTAGTTGTAACATTTGAATGTTAAATATGTGTTTAAACTGTTTTACTTGTAAACTGTTTTACTCATCTACCTAAAGGCTTATTAAAATTAGACAGTTTAGCAGTATTTTGTAGCAGATGTAACTGTTGATTATTAACTGAGTGAATTTCTCCACATTATTCATTTCTTCAAGAACCATAAAAACTTGGTGACAAAGTGCTCATATGCTCTGCATATAAAATACGTAGAGCATATTTAAATACCTCTAGCATTTAAAACTTCATCTAAAATAAATTTTTTAACTGAACCTAGGTACTCAAAAGAGTAATTATATCATTATTTATACCATTTCAGGGCGATGATAGAGGTTACAAGGACGCTTCTCTGACAAGTGGTGCCAGTCACTCCAAAACACCATTAATGAATGCATTAGTGATCGTGAGGATAGATTTCACCTACAGTCTACCACACAATTCTAATTAGATCTTATAACACTAATATTTTTATTTTTCCTGCATAAACATCTTAGAGTATATTTTTGTTTACTTTCCAGATCTTTATTTTTCTTCTGTGTCTTTAAGCATACATGGTCATACATACATACATGCATACATGGTCATACATACATACATGCATACATGGTCATACATACATACATGCATACATGGTCCATTATAAACTACTTTATGTAAGTAATTAAATACAAAAAAAAATTATTACAATTTATACTATTACTTATATAGTTTCACTATTAAACTTTATATTCAAGTAATACTTTAAGACTATAGAAGTTATACCTTTATTTTAATACTTTATGATTAAAAATTAAAAAACAGTTGTTTCTTTCTTTTTTTTTTTAATAATTTTTTAACGGTAAAGCAAATAATTTTGGTTTTGTTTACTCAATTTAAAACAGCTAGTAAAAATACATAAACAAAAAAAATAAAATAAAAATAAAAATAAAAATGAAAAATAAAGAAAATTAGAAATAAAAATATAGAAATAATAAAAATATTCATAAAAGAAAAAATATTCATAAAAGTTAAAAAGTTTTTATAAATTTCTTTAAGATAATAATAATAATTAAAAGTAAAAAAAACAAATTTTAAAATATACATTAAAATTTTTTAATATGCAAAATTTTTTGTTGAAACATCAAAATAAGAAAGGAAAAAACAAGTTACTAAATTAAAAGTGACATTTGAGTCATCCATTGAAATGTAACCATTAGAAAATGTAGAAAACAAATGTTTGGTAGAAACATTGTTTACATCAAGAATCAACCATCTACCTGTATGTAAAATAATTTATTTATAATAATCTATTTTTTTTGTTTTTCCAAAAACAGAAAGAACAAATTACTCACAGCAAAAATTTTCTTCTCCGGTAGCATGCAGCTTGCTTTTTTTTCTATTATAACAGAGCGACTTTCCAGAGAGTTTTGATATTAAAACCACTTCACATATGCTCTGTAAATGTCTTGCAATTCGGTACTCAAAACTGTTTTCCTAAAAACATGTTAAAAAAACTTCATCAGTAACTTTTTAAAACCATATTTATTTACAGACAAGCAGTAGTTCAAATATTCATTTAAGCTAACAAAGTTTTTTGCATATTTTAGAATGTAAATGCCAAAAAAAAGTCAGTACTCTTAGACTCATCAGAAATTATTTCTGATGAGTCTAAGAATACTGACTTTTTAGATTCTTTTTATTGATGATTTTTGAAGAAACCATAAATAAAGAGAGTACTCTTTATTGATGATTTCTGAGTTCTGACATTTTTGATGATTTCTGACTTCTGATGAGTCTTTATTGATGAAACAATGTAAAATAAAAAAAAGTTTGATAAGTTATTTTTTACTAATTTTTATATAAAGGTAGAGTTGAGTAAAACTGACAATCTTGAATTAAAAAAGATTGGAATGAGCTACAAAGTTGATTTTTTTTTCATTGAACACTCATTAAGTATAGAACAAAAATAAATAAATAAAAAATTAGATTTCTTCAGTACAATAAAATTTTTGAGATCCATACTCTGTCCACAATCTTCTTCTTAAAGTCATTCTTAAACCGTCTTAAAATGTCTTCTTAAAGTCATTACTTGATTTTGCTTGCCTAATTGCATAAAATACTTATGTAATTTGGGTTTAATAAATGCACAATATTGTTCGAAGGGACAAAGTTCAGGACAATTTGCAGGATTGTGATATATATATTTTATATATATATATATATATATATATATATATATATATATATATATATATATATATATATATATATATATATATATATATATAAAGATACAGTAAAAGCTGTAAAACTGAAGAAAAAAGTTAAAACAAATTACTTCATGGGTTTCATTTTCTTCATTTTTTTTGTTTTGTTTTGGTAAACTTTTCTTCAGCTTTTTCTTATTCTTCGCATCTTTTTGGTCAGAAGTATTTTGAATTGAACTTAATTCTATTTCATTCTGCTCTTCTTTTTTGGAACTTTCTTCAACTTCCTTTTCTATAATGAAAAAAGCAATTAACAAAACCATCAACTTTGATGTTTCAAATTGTGGAAAAAAAAAATGACAATATCATTCATGACTGAATCAATAACATTTAATATTTTAAAACTTTTAATATTTAAGGTTTTAATATTTAATGTTAATAATTAAATTTTAAAGATAATTAAGCATAGTTATTTATTATTTTATTTTTTATTATACTACCATTTTATTTATGCATATATATATATATATATACATATATATATATATATATATATATATATATATATATATATATATATATATATATATATATATATATATATATATATATATATATATATATATGCATATATATATATATATATATATATATATATATATACATATATATATATATATATATATATATATATATATATATATATATATATATATATATATATATATATATATATATATATATATATATATATATATATATATATATATATATATATGGTATGTTTAAAAGTTTATTTTTAGATTACCAGTTTTAGCGTTATTCTGCGGCTTTATTTGTATTTTAGATTTTCCTTTAACCAGTTTCCTAATAAAATAATTATTTTTATATATTTGCATACAACGTTTAAAATTCAGACTGTCATTCAACATGTGCTAACTATAAAGCACACCAAAAGAAGCCTCAGGTAAGCTCTTTAGCACCAACCTGTTTATTATGTATAAAATTAATATTTATAAAATATACAATATAATAAAGTAATAACTCATTGTTAATTTATTGGAAAATTTAAAATATACTTTTTTATTTTTTAAAAAATATTATTTTTAAATCAATATTTTTTTATTTTATACATTGTCTATAAATATTAAAATCTATTTGAATATTTAAAATTTACATTATATTACTACATATATATTAAAAATATATAAGGGTAAATACCTTTTCACTGGGAAATAATAAATCTTATTAGAAGTAAGATCTTCCACAGTGACTTGCTCCACAAACCAATCTTTATCTACAAGAAAATTAAAACAACATGTATGAAAGTATATATGTATGTATGTATGTATGTATGTATGTATGTATGTATGTATGTATGTATGCATGTATGTATGTATATACATAGTATATACATATAGGTATGTATATACTACAGATAAATGTATACTTAACTGTTGCTTGAATTCAACTGAAATAACAACCTACCATCTACTTGATGGTCAAGCCAGATTGTAATGCTTTTTAGGATACCCAAATCAACAGCTTCAATTTCAAATAAACTAACCTTAATAAAAGTTAAATTTGAAAAAATAAAAAAAGACAAAAAAACTTTAATTAAAATTTTAATAAATCCTAAAAATAATAATAATACATTGCCGCTTCGAAAAGCTTGCATTCTATCTTTAATATTTAGGAGCCGGTTTCCTGTGTCGCCATTCTCTCCTTCGATTGTTAGGTACACATCATTATTGGTACAACCATTTTCCTTTTGACCAGTGAGTATTTTAACTGCATACTGATGAACTAAATTTTAATATTCAATAAATATTTTTATGTATAAAAATAATTATTCATTTAATATGGATCATACATAATATACACTTTTTATTTTTTAGTGTATCCTGAATATAGAAAAAATAAAAAAGTTATAAAGCAATTAAAATTGAGTCAAGCTATTTTGATATATTTTATATTTACTAATTTATAATATATACATATATATATATATATATATATATATATATATATATATATATATATATATATATATATATATATATATATATATATATATATAATATATATATATATATATAAATATATATATATATATATATATATATATATATATATATATATATATATATATATATATATATATATATATATATATATATATATATATATATATATATATATGGCAAAGCAGACCTAACTGCCAACCTGAAAATGTTTGTGGTCGGCTAAAAATTGCCGACCTCGTTTCTATGTTTTATGGTCAGACCTTTGTATCAAATAATTTTTGCCAACTACAAAAAGGTTGTGGTCGGCAAATTATTGCCAACCTCATTTTTCCTAATTCCGAGGCTTGTATATATATATACTCTTGTTTGGTTGTCTCTAAGTTTTACCTAACTTTATGTTTTTAAAAATTTTAAATTAAAATTTTTTTTTTTAATTGAAAAACTGCCTGCCTAAACTAAAATCATCAGTCAATGTAGCAGCACTTCTTGCCTATACCTATTTGTCAGTCGATTAAGCACCATTTTTTGTTTTTATAAAAACAATAAAACTTAATGGTTTTGACATAAAGTGTACTTAAATTTGTCTTCTTTAAACATGAAGAGCTGCAAATGGTAAGTTTAGATGACAATCTTACTGTTACCAATTTTTTAATTTATTATTTCTTTTTCTTAAAACCTTTGTTAAAAAAATGGCTCTTCCATTTGCAATGTGATTTATTTTAAAAAGGCTTTTGAGCAAAAAACAAGTTTTAACAAAGTTTTTATTTTTTATTATTTGTTTATAATCAAGGAGAAAAATTGATAAATAAAAAAACAAACATAAATTTGGTATTTATTTTCAATTTTAAAAACTTTAAAAATACAATTGACAATAGTTAAGTGCTATTCATTTAAAAATTTGAATAAACTGATGATGAAAAGTGTTTATACAGTGAGGTGCAAGATGACACTTCATAAATAAGGTAAAAGTGGAATGAAATGAAAAAATGAACAATGAAATTAATTTTAACTTTCACTTTCCTTTTGCTACATACTATATTGTATATTTTAACATGAAAAAATTATCTATTTGAAAATGTGAATTTATTTATGTCAATTTTTTACTTAATCTTAAATTTCATTCAATAATTTTTTATTTTCCGAGTTGAATCATCATTTTAAAATTTTGAAAATTTTGAAAAATCAATTTTTTATTCTTGATATAACTACAATAGAGTTGTAAACTTCCAGAAAGTTTAAATGCTTCTGTGATTATGATACCAATTAGATATAACATTTCACCCTTTAAACTTTATATTAAAATTTACCCGAAAAACGTAATTTTCCATTCTTAAATAATGGAAGCTCTCGTTCAACCTCACCATCACCTTTTTCTCTTGATAACCATCGATTGCAGTTGAATAAGTATTCTTTATTACTCATTAAATTTGTTAATAACACCTAAAAAATTAATTTTAAAATACTTTATATAAAACTTTAAGTTCATTAACTGTATTTAAGCAAATTCTACCCAAATTTTCATTTTGATTTTTAAGATATCTTTTTTTTTTTAAAAAAAACAACATCTTGCAAGTCTCAAAAGCATTATATGGAATAGTCGAAACTATTTATCAAAATTTTTAAATTGAATTTATGATTTTTAATTAAAAAAATAGTAATCATAATAAACAAGCTTGTAGTTTTAGTTTATATACATAAAAACTTTTATTCAAACTAAATCAAAATCAAATATATTTATATAACATAACATTTTTAGTTATGTCAATTATGTAAATGTTTATATAACATATTTATTTTGTAAATGTTTATATATCATACTAAAATATGTTAACTATGTAAATGTTTATATAACACTTATTTAAATATGTTAATTATGAAAATACTTATATAACATATTTATTTGTTTGTCTGTAGCCTTATACATTATAAGTTTACAAAAAAAAAAAAAAAAAATTCTTTTTTCAAAGAACTGACAAACAAAAATAATAAAATTTATTTTTAACATTATAATTTTAATAAATATTCTTTATAATTATCATTAAAACTTTCATATGCAATATTTTTATATTTATTTATATATTTATATTGTATAACTACCATTATTAATATGGTATACAATAACGTATATACTTGCGTATTAGTCAAGAAATTGATGTAAAATTTCAAACAAATTAAAAACTAAGAAATTATTTTGTTAAAATTGTTAATATTTTTTATAATATTTTAAAACTTAAATCAAATATTTTACTTCAACTTATATGGGGGTTTCCAATTAATGAAAAGTTTGTTAAAATGTTTACTAATACGCCAGTATAACCAGTTAATATTTATAAATATTATACAATTATTACTATTTATTACTTTTGAAGTATAAATAATAACTTTAAAAAAAAAATTTGAACACATTTAAAATGGTTTTAAAATTTTATATAAAAGCATATAAATTTTATAAATAAAATAAAGTGTACTGAGTACTATCTATGTTTCGAGTCAAGTTCATTAACAAATTTAAAAATGAATAAAGTAACAAAAACTATAAAACACAAAAAACCACAGTCATCACCAAGTTTGCTAAACCTATCATTCACTAATATTAATGGTCTTTGAAGTAACTTTTCTTTTGTTGAGTCTTATCTCTTGCAAAGTTCACCAGACTTACTTGCTCTTTGTGAGACTAATTTGAGTTTAGCTGTCTCATCATGTGATCTTAGTGTTGATGGTTCCTTTAATTCGTAAAGATTCCAATAGTCACATGCTTGGCCTGGGCAATTACATTTGTAAGAATTCAGCCATTTGTTGGGAAACTAGGTTTGAATCCACAGACTACTTTTTTATGTGCTTTCGTTTAGCACCACTTTACTCTATCACCTTTCTCTTTGTTCTATATCGCTCTCCTTCATCTCAAGACTGCACTCTTCTTGATGTTATTTCTGATCACATTGACCAAGACCTCTCTCTTTATCCATCAGGCAATATTGTTGTTGTCGGTGACTTTAATGTTCATCACACTGAATGGCTTGGCTCTAGTGTCAGTGACTCTGCAGGCATTAAAGCCTACAACTTTTGCCTTTCTCAAGCCCTAACTCAAATAGTCAACTTTCCAACTCGCTTTCCAGACAACCCAAATCATTTACCATCTCTACTTGACTTGTGTCTTGTTTCTAATCCTAGTCAGTGTTTGGTTTCTCCACATTCACCCTTAGGTGCCTCTGATCACAGTTTGATCTCGTTAAAACTATTATCTTATTCTTCTTTATCATCAGACTCCCCTTATCATTGCACATCTTACAACTACTTTAAAGCTGGCTGGGATTCTTTCCGTGATTTTCTTCATGATAGCCCTTGGGTAGAAATCTTTCGTCTTTCTGTTGACAAATGTGCTTCTTATATAACTTCGTGGATTCAGGCTGGCATGAAATCCTTTATTTCCTCTTGACAATTCCAGGTCAAGCCTCACTCTTCTCTATGATTTTCCTCACATTGTACTGCTGCAATTGCCAATCGAAACCATCACTTCCATATCTATCAGAAAAACAATTCTTCAGAAAACAGACGTCTGTTTATTACTGCTAGGAACCATTGTAAAAAGATTTTATCTAATGCCAAAGCTCGCTATTCTCAGATCATGAAATCTCGAATTTCATCTCAAAAATAAGGCTCTCGTGATTTCTGGAGAATCTTTAATAGTATCAATAATAAGGGCAAGTCTGTAATTCCACCTCTTTTGTATGGTTCAGATTTTGTAACCTCACCTAAAGACAAAGCTGAATTGTTTGCTAAGAACTTTTCATCAATATCATCTCTTGATTCCACTAGTTGCATTCTACCTGATATAGCCATCAAACAGGTTGATCCATTGCTCGACATCCGTATCACTCCAGCTTTTGTACCTAAAGTGATTTCCTGCTTAGACTCTTCTACAGCTTGCGGCCCGGACAACATACCTGTTATAGTCTTGCAGAAGTGCTCTCCGGAGCTGCCGTCTATCCTTTCAAAACTATTCAACAAGTGCTTATCAGAGTCAGCCTGCTGGAAAGCAGCATCTGTTATCCCTATTTTCAAAAATTCCGGAGAGCGATCTGATTCGACTAACATGTTCCATTAGTCTTCTTCCTATCATAAGCAAGATTTTTGAATCTTTAATTAACAAACACTTAATCTCTCATCTTGAACTTAATAACTTACTTTCTGATCATCAATATGGATTTCGATCTTCTCGTTCTATGGCTGATTTGCTAACAGTAATAATCGATAGCTTTTATTGCGTATTAAATAAAGGTGAAGAGGTAAAAGCCATCGCTATTGACATTTCTAAAGCATTTGATAAAGTTTGGCATGCTGGTCTTCTCCATAAGCTTTCTTCTTACAGTGTATCTGGAAACATCTTTAAGATCCTTCCTTTCC